ATTTCGTAACTTTCGCCGGATTTCGAGACATGGGCCCCACGGGCTATTTTTTAGTTAATTTCGGATTTTTATTGAAAAAAATGTAGTATTTCGTATATAATTAATTCTATAATTTTTGTTGACTGTATCGAATTAATTATGACTAGATACGAGTCGATCAGAGTCGGAAAATCGAGGAAAAAGCATAATACTTGATTAAATTGGAGCAAGTCGAGGTAAGTGATTTGTCTAACCTTGTGTGGAAAAATTTTCCCTAGAATTGATATTAATGTGATTATTGATATGTGTTGAAAATCGTGTACACGAGGTGACGAGTGTGTACACGGGCTAAATGTGAAAGATTATATTTTTAAATTGTGTAGATCATTGTTGCGCAATTATTANCTGTGCATTATTTGAAGGTTGATTTTCTTTAAATTAAATATTATTAATATGAAGTATTTGACATTTTTAAATTTGATATTGAAGCAACGTATTAAAAATTTAAAATATTATTTTCTGAGTTATTTATTCTTGAATATTTACGTAAGATTTTTTTTGGATTATCACGTTTAATTAGTGATTTAAGTTGGAAAAATTTGAAAACCCTCTTGGATAGATTTGTGGATTTGAGGGTCGAATCGTTATTGGAATTTAGTCATTTTGGTATGGTTAGACTCGTGGTTGAATGGGCGTTCATATTTCGTAACTTTCGCCGGATTTCGAGACATGGGCCCCACAGGCCATTTTTTAGTTAATTTCGGATTTTTATTGAAAAAATGTAGTATTTCGTATAGAATTAATTCTATAATTTTTGTTGACTGTATCGAATTAATTATGACTAGATACGAGTCGATCGGAGTCAAAAAATCGAGGAAAAAGCATAATACTTGATTAAATTGGAGCAAGTCGAGGTAAGTGACTTGTCTAACCTTGTGTGGGAAAATTTCTCCTAGAATTGATATTAATGCGATTATTGATATGTGTTGAAAGTTGTGTACACGAGGTGACGAGTGTGTACACGGGCTAAATGTGAAAGATTATATTTTTAAATTGTGTAGATTATTGTTGCGCAGTTATTAAATTATTTTATCTTGTTATATTCTTCATCATTGATATGTGATATATATTTTAGATTTGTTTACATTTTTTCTGCTAATTGTTTTACCTGTTTAATTAAAACTTGGTTTCTTTTATACTGTGCATTATTTGAAGGTTAATTTTCTTTAAATTAAATATTATTAATATGAAGTATTTGACATTTTTAAATTTGATATTGAAGCAATGTATTAAAAATTTAAAATATTATTTTTCTGAGTTATTTATTCTTGAATATTTACGTAAGATTTTTTTTGGATTATTCTGGCATGAGCCGTGAGCTCTTTATTATTGAAAAATATTATTGTTGATTTTTTGTGGAAAATTAAAATATTGGACACTTGATATACAAATTGTGATATATTGTGATATTGATACGCATGCGGTGGTATAAGGTCTGGGTATTAAAACACATTCGTTGAGATAAGGGTGGCTTGATATGCGTGGGTAGTAGGGGTGACTACTAGAAGTCATGCGGTGTGATAAGGGTGGCTAAACTGCGAGATGCTATTTCGGGGAAAAAAATGTTTTCTTTAAATAAATTGTGAAGGCTCCCGCTGTGGTATAAGGAAATGAGATATTGTGAATTTGTTTATGATTTGGAACTACGAGACGGTACCTCGGGAGTGCCCTTGCTGATATTGATTTATGGCCGCAGTTGCCTTTGATTATTATTGTGATTTTCTTCAAGTTGAAAAGAATTTTGTTTTGTTTCCACGAGGTATTTATTTGCTATTATTTGATGTAATTAAATGTGACATACTATTTGATTCATTTCCATTGTCATTTTATCTTATAATATTATTTAAACATTTTACCATGCCATTATTTATTCTCCAGTAAGGCCTGACCTGACCTCGTCACTACTCTACCGAGGTTAGGCTTGGCACTTATTGGGTACCGATGTGATGTACTCATACTACGCTTCTGCACATCTTTTTGTGCAGATCCAGGTACACCTTATCAGATCACGCATCAGTAAACTAGCTGTACGAGGAGATTTCGAGGTATATCTGCCAGCGTCCGCAGACTCCAGAGTCCACTTCTATCTTACTATGTTATCTTCCTTATTTGCTTTAGACTCTGATGTATAGAGACATAGAGAATAAATTTTTAAAAGCTTGTGACTTATTTCTACCGGGTTTTGGGAGTTGAAATTGTTTGAATTGTAGTTTATTTATTTCAGATATTTATTATTATTCCGCATTGATAGGCTTACCTAGTCTTAGAGACTAGGTGTCATCACTACATCCTACGGAGGGAATTTGGGATCGTGACAACGGTCCTTCCCCGAAACTTGCGTGAACACGAGATGCTTTGTGCACCACACTGCTCTTTCTTAGAGGCACAAAACAAAATGGAGAAGGAAGTCACAACATAAGTACGAAATTTTCAATGTGTCTTTGCACGAATAAACTTCGTACTAAATTTGGATAAAAGAGCAGGATTATCCTAAATCAATGGTTTAACATATAATCAAATTAGGATGCCTCGTAGTCGTAGAATTCGTATAGATAATGATAACTAGTTTGGAGTTGTAGTTGGTTGAATGATATGTGGTGCACCAACAATACATAAGCATTTTTTGAAGCTTTTACTATAGAAGCCATGGCTTGTAGCCTTGTACCGTTGTAAACTTGATACTTGTACAGTTATACTACACAAACTTCAAAATGCACAAGACGATAGTGCGCTGAAAACATCATATATGGAAGTTATAGGTAATTACTAGCAGGTCGCTTCTTGAATATGTGACTTACTGCCACTGCTAAAAAACAGCCGTTTATCGACGCAGCAGTATCGACGGACTTTTTTCCGTCGGTATTCTTAGAGACTTTCCGATGGAGTCCCTCGGTACTTTTGAACTTTTTAATTTCTAATATTTTTAAAAAATAATCGACGGACAACTCTCGATAAATAATGATATTTTGACCGGTCAAAATTTAATTGGTTGTACCGATGCACTCCGTCGGTAATTTACCGACGGACTCCCTCGGAACATTTTGTATTTATATTTTTGAATTATTTTTTTTAGGTACTGACGGTGTCTATCGGTGCTTTTAAAAAAAAATAAATGAAAAAAAAAAATAAAGTTATCGACATATTCAATCGTTATTGCATTTACATAATATTTTGAATTTTGTTCTTACAATACCGATGGACTTCCGTCGGTAATTTAAATATATAATCTTATACATAATTATTTTGTATTTTTTATTACTCTATACCGAGGGAGGCCGTCGGTAAGTCCCTCGATAAGTATTTACTTAATTATCGTAGTGGTTTATAGCCTATTTATTAAAATTTACACTAAGTGTAGGTAATTACACAACTTAAAAAAATATTAGTGGTAATTAGCTTAGTAATTTATAATTACACTAAGTAAAAGTGAATTTGTAGTATCCTTAGCTACATTGATTAACCTATACATTAATAGTTACACACTAAGAAGAAGTGTATTAGTCGTTTTTCGTAAGAAATATTAGTGATGGTTTATCTTATAAATTGATAATTACTGTAAGTAGAAGTGTATTAACAGTGTTCTTAAGTAACGTTAACGATTGATTATCATACACATTGATAATATACTAAGTAAACGTGTATTAGTTGTATTTAGCTTGTAGATTGATAATTATACGAAGTATAAGTGTATTAATAATATATTTGGAAGTAATGTTGGTGATTGATATATTAGCTTGTATATATTGATAATAGCACTAAGTATTAGTGAACTAGTGGCATCCTTATATAAGTAATGTTAGTGATTGATTAGCCTATACATTGATAATTATACACTAAATGAAAGTGTATTAATGCCATTTGTGAGAAATGTTAGTGATTCTTTATCTCTAAATTGGCAATTAAAGTAAGTAGAGGTTTATTAGTGGTATCGTTAAGTAGTGCTAATAATTGATTAGCCTATATATTAATAGTTATACTAAGCAGAAGTGTAATAGTTATAATTATCTTATAGATTGATAATTACACTAAGTAGAAGTGTACTAAGAATATATCCTTAAGTAATGTTAGTGATACACTAACCTATACATTGATAATTACATACTAGGTAGAAGTTTATTAATAGTATACTGACAAATATTGATAATTATTTAATTATCTTAAATTGACAACTAAAGTAAGTAAGACTATATTAGCAATATCGTTAATTAATATTAATAATTTATTAGGCAATTCATTGATAATTACATTAAGTAAGAAGTGTAATAGTTACAATTAGCTTATAGATATTGGTAATTACACTAAGTAAAAGTGTACACACTAAGGATGCATCCTTAAGTAAATGTTAGTGATGCACTAGCCTATACATTGATAATTACACACTAAGTAGAAGTTTATTAATGGTACACTGACAAATATTGGTAATTATTTAATTATCTTTAATTGACAACTAAAGTAAGTAAAACTATATTAGCAATATTATTAATTAATATTAATAATTTATTAGGCAATTCATTGATAATTATATTAAATATAGAAGTATAATAGTTACAATTAGCTTATAGATTTTGATAATTACACTAAGTAGAAGTGTACGCACTAAGAATATATCCTTAAGTAATGTTAGTGATTCACTAGCCTATACATTATTAATTACACACTAAATAGAAGTTTATTAATGGTATACGTGAAAAATCTTAGTGATTATTTAATTATCTTAAATTGATAACTAAAGTAAGTAGAAATATATTAGTTGTATCATATAATTAATATTAATAATTAATTAGCTAGTATCCTTAAGTTATGTTAGGTTCAATTACATTGTAAATTGTTAATTACAAGTGTATCAGTGATAATTAATTAGCTTATAAATTGATAATTATACCAGAATTATGGGTCATTAATTTTGGTTTATATAATTACATGTTTGCTAATTACTTAACCAAACTTAAACATAAATTAATTTGTTTAACAAATAAGCACTCCGCCTCCCTGCTTAAACATAAACATAAACTTTAAACACTCCGCCTCACTGCTTCTAGGGCAAATCCCCGCTTCACTGGCGTCGTCGGCACTCAATCCAAGCGGCCATCGTCGGCGGCGGCGGCGGCAATAAACGGCCATCGTCGGCACTCAGACTCCTCTCCATCTCCGGTAAGTTTTCTTCCATCGTCGGCCATTGAGGTCGTTTTTGGGGGTGGTTTGAGTTCACAAATTCTCATAGTAATGTGAAGGGGAAGGGAGGTTTAGGATAAGAGGAAAGGAAAGAGAAGGGTCTGGTGAAGATGAATCTTAGACCTTGATGGGCTTTATTTTAGTATTCCATCCTCAAGTCTTCTTCAAAAATGGTTTTGCAATCACTCAATTAAGTAGAGCCAAATTGGGTCAAGTGTGAAGTCCCTTGGAGAATGCTCAATCTTTTTTCTGTTTAGAGAGAGATTTCGGCGTTAATTGCACTGTCCTATAAGCATCTACTTCCCATTTAAGAAAGACACTATACAATGAAGACCAGGTTTTAATTGTAGAGTTTCTTAAGGCCAGACTCAAATGAACTCAAACTTCTTTATGTGTGAAATTTTCATAAGTAATAGCCGTCTTCGCGGAGAGCAACATAAGTATTTGGAAATATTTCATCTTTAAGAGGCAGTATGTATGATAAGACAGTTTATAGACACCTTGGTTTAATATCATGAGGAAAATATAAAGAACTCCTTCGAATTTACAAAGCCAAAACAAAAATAAAAATAGAGACAACTGCTTGAATAGTTTGACAATACGCATACTGCCTCTTAACGAAGAGAGTGCCTGTTTTCAAATTCCGTTGGCATTTGTTGCTGATTTTTATTGCTTAGTTTATGTGAAGGACTTGTAATAAATGAGTTTTTCTCTATGACCAGGGGCCAAACACATTGGTGGTTGTACACGTACATTCTCTGATCAGTCTTATGCTTTCACCGTGCATTTGCAGAAACAAAGTATTGCTATTCTATGTTTTTTCCTTGAAAATAATGATTTGACTTGATTCCCAAGTTTATAACCTATTACGACATTGTCGGCCTTGTGAAGAGTTCTAGTTATTAAGTATCTTGCGAGGCTGTTTGTAGACCGTTAGCAACAGACTCTCGTGGATTATTGTAAAAAAAATGAGTGGTTGGTATTGTATGTCGTACCTACAGAAGTTGTGCTGAATTAATGAAGATAAAGCTTTATAGCTAATGAACAGAGTACCTTTTCTAGTTCAATTCTCTAGACAATCTTTGCAATATCTCAATTAACTCCAACTACTGTTGAATACTTGAATAACATTCATAATTATTGGAACATGAAAAAACTTGTCGGAGGAGTTGAATTACTGTTGTGGTTTTTTTTCTTTGGGTACAGATACTATTAAGCTGTATCGGAAAGGAGAACTTGAACCTTTGCTACAAGATTTGGTCTTATTCTATTTAGCTTAGAATAACTATGTTTCTTCTGTTGTAATTGTTATAATATTAAATGAGTAAGAATAATAAATTTTTTGTTTGTATATGTAGATGGAACATCGTATGTGGATGTACGATAGGAATCTTCCTAATCGGTGGGGTTTAAGAGATGAATTTGTACAGGGTGTTGATGAGTTTATTAATCATGCTAAGTCATTTAGCCAAAATAAGGGGATGATTAGGTGCCCTTGTGCGAAATGCAAGTGTAGAAAATGGTTGAAACTAGAGGATGTTAAGACTGATCTATATAGTAAGGTCTTTATGGATAATTACTATGTGTGGACTAGCCATGGAGAGGCTGAGGGTAGTGATGGTAATATTTATAACCATAATTTTGATATTGGTGAAAGTAGTCAAGATCCTAGATTACATGAAATGGTTATGGATGCTTTTGGAATGTATAATGAGGGTGAGAACCAACAATATGTTGATCAAGTTCCCAATGAAGAGGCAAATCATTTTTATGCACAGTTAGAGTCTGCTAGTCGTCCACTTTCCGATCTGTAGCGACTAGACTACTAAGTATTAAACCAGATGCCAGTGTTTCTCAAGCGGGCATGGACTCTATGATTGAGCTTATGAAAGAACTTAATCCGAACCTAGACATACCCGATAATTACTATAAGGCAAAGAGATTGGCTTCCAAGTTAGGACTTTCTTCAGAGAGAATTGATTGTTGTGAAAAGGGTTGCATGTTGTATTATAAGGATGATGCAATTTTAGAGAATTGTAAATTCTGTGGAATGTCTAGCTTTAAACAGCTTGCCAGCGGGAATAAGGTTTGCGGTTAAGTCTATGCATTATTTACCTCTTATACCAAGGCTAAAAAGGTTGTATGCATCGATGAGTTCTACTCCACGCATGAGACGCACTTAGGAATGACATCGACTCCCTCAAGGCTTAAGTGAATCACTTAATCGGTCTGCCTCACTCTCCGCCAAAAAGCCACATTCATGAAGAGGATGAAAGTGATGAAAATAATATAAATCATGAAGAAGATAGGGGGGAATCCGAAGACGAGGAGTGATTTTATGTTTGGTTGGATTGTTGTTTAGTTGGATGTTAACTTTGAATGTTACACTTTGAAGTTTGGTTGGATAGTTTTGATGTTTGGATAGTTTATAAAGTTTTGTTGTTGTTAAGTTGAGCTTTATTGTGGTTGCATTTTTGTTTGTATTGTAATGTTCTAGCTGGTAGGTCTATTGTAATATTCTGGCTGGCAGGTGGTGCAGCAAAAAATAGGCACTCCCTGGCAAAAATGTATCAGATTTACCGAGGGACTTACCGACAGAGTCCGTCGGAACAATTATTCATTTTCAATCCAGCATTATTAATTAGCGAGGGAGTCCGTCGGTAGTCTTGAACCAAATTTTCAAATTTTGTTAAAATTACCGACAGATACCATCGGGATATAAATTTATTCATATTTTTAATTTTTAAATTACTAAATTAAAATTCTAAACTTACCGATGGTGTCCGTCGGTATTATTAAATTATTATTTTTAATTTACCGACAGACATCCGTCGGTATTGATATTATTAATATTATATTATTTTATAATATACCGACGGATATCCATCGGTAAGTAAAATTATTTGACCAACCACTATCAGAAATGTACCGATGGCTTTCCGATGGGGTCCATCAGTAATTACCGACGGATTTTGTCGATTTATGTTACCGAGGAAGGATTTACCTACCAACTACTTACCGACAGACTTTCGCCGGTAAAGCCTTGTTACCGAGGGACGTCCGTCGGTAATTGGCGTTGGTAAAGAGGTGATTTTTAGTAGTGTGCGTTATTTTCTTTTCCCTCCTGATTTTCTTTGGAAATACTTTGGGAGAAGTGCACAAGTAGCCGCTTTTACGATCATTATTAAAATAATAATTGAAGTTTACAAAATATAGTCGCTTCATAATCAAACTTCAGATCATTGGGATAATTCTTACAAAGAGTTGGGGCTGGGTTAATTATTTTTTCCAGCAGGTCGCTTCTTTAATATGTGACTACTGCATTAACTTTTCCCCCCTATTTTCTTATGAAATACTTTGGGCGCAAGTAGCCACTTTTAGGATTGCTATTTAAGTAATAGTCTAAGTTTATACAATGTAGCCACTTTTAGGATCGCTATTTAAGTAATAGTCAAAGTTTATAAAATAAAGCCGCTTCATAATCAAACTTCAAATTATCAGGTTTGAAGTTAGAGTCTTAAGTTTGAATGCAATTCAAATTCAGCGATTTCAGATGAAATTTGAACCGCAGCCTAACTTTAGTTTTGAAAGTTTGAAATTTTTTAACTTTTAGACCTTCGGGTAAGTTATGTCAATTTAAAACTTTAGACTCGGAGGTCTAAAAAGTAGAAGTAGCAACAACAACAGTAAGAGCCAATCTGAAATGTGTTAAAAATGACCAGTATTTAATAATTTTTAAAAATGATATATGTTGACCAGAAAAGAAAAAGGAATAAACGGCGTCCTATATAAGATATTACTAAACGTTAGCGCACAGTAGTGTAGCCATAAAAAATACAGCAGAAAAAAATGCAGAAAAAATTTAGTGTTGCCATTTTTTCGAAATTATTATTTATAATAAAACATTCTTTATGATAAAACCTTTAACTTCACATAATAGTATTATCTATCTATATATATACTATATTAAAAGCACAATAACCCTTACTGAAATATCGTTTGCCTTTTTTATCCTTTAAAAATAGATTTCACATTGGATAAAATCGTAATTTAATTATTCTCCTAAAATATAGGATTTTAAAATCAAATAAAATTATGATTATAAAATCTTTCATTATTTGAACTATATAGAAACTCATAATTTTTTAAAACTATTGAAATTTATTATAAATAAACCAATTTGACTTTTCTAGATCCTTTTACCCATAAAAAAAAACACTCCAAAATTTAGAAGAAAGAAACTAATTTGAATTAAACTATAATTCCTTCAAGATGCGTAAGAAGGAAATTTTATCTACTTTTGCCTTTGAATTGTGTTTGTTTCTGACTACCAAGTGGTAGCCAAGGGTCTCTAACAAATTTTATTGTTAATTTGATTTCTTTGAAATATTTTTTTTGAAAAAAAAGTATCCTAAATGTAAATAAAAAAGGAAATTAACTTTTTAAGAAGGAACAAAGTTGTCTTTAAATATTTAGCAATTCCTAATTGAGTGTAATTACAATTTTATCTAATATGAATTATGAAATACACTTTAATTTACAACTTTGCTACTTGTCAAACAAAAACTTATGAATAGTTTATTTTACCTTTTTAATTACTCCTAACATTTTGAATTTTACAAATGTTATATTTTTATATTGAATATAATTTATTTCTTTTTGTTTTTGGAAACTGCCAAGTTCATTTAATTCAAAGTAAAAAACGGACCATCCTTTCTTCTTTATAAAATTATAGTTAATGTATCTTTGTCTCCAAAACCAAGAATATTATAACACACATAATCATTTATATATGAACATATCTTTTTGTAATGTTGATAGATCATATTATCCTTCAATGGTGTACTGTTTCTTCAAAATATTATAAATCTAAAATAATAAAATTATTTAATATTGAATAATAGATATAACTTTAGCATATTCATATTTCATAGTATAATTGCGATGATCCTCTTTATTGTTCATTTTCTTATAATCATATAAGCTTATTACATTTAGCTTAACCTTTTAAATAGTTTCCTATAAAGAACTTTAAAGGTTACATACTAACTTACATATTGTCGTGAGTAATGCTAATACAAATTAACATATTGTGCTTATTCTGAGCTTCTAAACTAAATAAAAGCCCATGTATCAAAATCCAAATATAAGGATTTTATGGAGTGACGTTCTTTTCTTATAGAAATAGTTAAACAAAATTGACATTCATATTTTAGGATCTTAGCTATTTTATCTAGTCTTTATTCTATAAATCAAGATATTTTTCATAATATTTATGTGATATTTAAAAAGATTTTGATCGTAATATCGGGTACACGCGCAACGCGTGTACCGTAAAACTAGTCATTTATATTAGTAAGAGGTAACTTAAATAAATTAGATGATATACATGTATTTTCAATATGTTACCTTTGATATTGTTGTAAAAAAGTATATATTTACTAATATGAAGATTTAAGTAATTTAATTCAAAGTTCTAAAATTTTTTTAGTGTTAAAGAATAGATAGTCTTTATTTCTTTATTTCTTTTATCCAAGTTTTTTTTGTATTTTTTTTTTTGCAAACTTTAATATTGTCTAACTTGAAATAAAATCATAAAATTCATTATTAAAATTTTGGGAACCTAAATTAAAGCTTTACTAGTCTCCTACTTGAGCCACATATCCATCCCGTGATATTCTAAATCAAATTTTTATAGAGTCTTAATTAAGATAAGACAACAATCAGTAAATATGTTATTTAGTTACCAAATGTGAATGAAAACTGGTTGAATAACACGTTCATAGGGCAATGATCTATAAATAATTATTGATAATTAATGAGGGCAGCTCCACGAAACTGATGGCTTAAAACTAAAAGATATTAAAAGACCCTGAAATTTCTTTCATAAAAATTCATACTAATATTGAGACAAAAAAAAAAGTGGCGAGAGAATAACGCATAATATGTGAGTTAGGCTCAAGTCATATGGTATTTTAAAAGTCAAATTTTATCCTATTAACTCATTCAATCATATATCTACCAAATTTTAAATAAATATTAAAATTTAAAATATTTTATCAATAATTATATAAATATAAATTACATTGTAGTAGTACTTTATTTTTATATTTTTGGGGCCTTAAATATTTGTGGCATAAACCCTAGAGCCGCCCTTGGTGAGGTTTGGAGCAAAAGCAAAAATGGGGAAGAAGAGAGAACGACTCACAAATCCAGAACCTTTTCTTGAAGATGATGATTCCAAATCCAAAGCCTCCTCTAAAAAACGCTCCAAAGCTCCTAAATCCCACCAGCAGCAACAACAGGCAATCAAACTTTTTTTTTAATTAAGTTAATTTAGACGAAGTAGTTGGTGAACTGGTATTACGACATGTGCTGATTGGAAATTGTTGATTCTTTTTGTGTTGACAGGTTATATCGTCTAGCATGAGCTCAAAAATATTGAAGGAGGCATTACTTCAGCAGAAGGAGGTAGATGAAGAGGAGACTCGAGAGAGAAATCCTAACGCTCTAGTTTTCGATGAGGATGTTGTTGCAACTAAAGCTGTAGAGGAGGAAGACGATGACGACATTGATAATTTTGGTGGGTTCAACGAGACCCTAAGCCAATATGGTGATTTGGAGGTAACCCTTCTTAAAGTTTTTAGCTTAATGCTTGCTAACATGGTTGATAAATGTAGCAATTATCTTACGTATCGTGTTATTACAATGCCTATATGAACTTCAATTATTTTTTCTTCTATATCTGATTGCAAATGATTGTTTACATAATATTTGTATGAGATGAAGTTAAATGGAGTAACATGGTCAGTGAGGATTCATATAGCCGACCCTAACTTGTGGTCAGAGAACATTCATACAGCAGACCCCAACTTGTTTGGAGTCTTATGTGACATTATGCTAGGATAGTTTGGGGATTCTGGGGTCGATTGGCAGCAGCTTTTTGGGTGGCTTTACTACTAAGGATAAAGCAATAGATAGCTACAAGTTACTCCTATGATGACTTCTCTTGGTTTTTTAAACTCATCTCTAGCGACAACAGGAGCATTTTATCTGTTTAATACAGTAAGTTGAATTTCAACTGATATCTACCAAGAAAAATTTCAAATTTAAATAATAGTTAACTCGCTTCTTTTTCTTAGCTTCTCCTGGTATTAGTGTACAATCGTTAACGACCTTATGTTTTCTATTTTCTTTTTGTGTTACAGGATCAAGTTAATGAAGAGGAGGTGAGGCTAGTTGAGGCTTTTCTGTCTGCAGATAATCGCCCCGAGCTCACATTGGCCGACATCATTATCGGAAAGCTCAAGGAAAAAGATGCACAAGTTTCTTCAGGTTTTATTCTCTTTCACTTTAGAACGGAAAATAACTATCGCCAATAGTTGACTTCTTTTGATTGTTCACGAGCAAGCCAAGCTTTAATTGCATTCATTATTATAAAAAAAGAAGCAATTTGATGCTGTCTTGATGATGATAACTGATATAGTTTGTCTGTAGAAGTGCAACCAATGCCCAAACTGGATGACTCGATCATTGAGTTGTACAAAGGGTATGTTTTATTTCATGGTCCTTATTTATCAGTTCTTTATATGCAAACTTAGCATTAATAACCTTGGCTGTCTGGCGGTGCTTGTTATGCAGTGTTGGCAAGCATCTTAGCAAATACACTTCAGGAAAGATGCCTAAAGCGTTCAAACACATTCCTTCGTTACAATATTGGGAAGACGTTCTATATTTAACAGAACCTGAGAAATGGTCACCAAATGCAATGTACCAAGCCACAAGAATATTTGCTTCAAATTTGGGTGTCAAGAAGGCAGAGCGCTTCTACAAGTTTGTCTTGCTACCACGAGTTAGAGATGATATTCGCAAGAATAAGAGATTGCATTTTGCTCTGTATCAGTCTCTGAAGAAATCTCTTTATAAGCCTGCTGCCTTCAATAAGGGAATCTTGTTTCCTTTATGTGAGGTATATAACCATTGTGAAAGAATTCTTTAAACCGATTGGAGAATTGCAATTATATCCAAAGTTTTCACTTTCTTCTGTAGAAAATAACATTGTTTTGATTAGCTATATTCTCTAGATTGTCTGTTGATTGTTTAAGGGACATGCTTTACAGTAAAGGTCGTGACACTGGGATATTGAAGAGTGGGTAATGGGTTCTCCGTTTATCTACTTCTCTACTTTACTAAAAACTTCGTGATATCTGATGATACATGCATGCTGAGAGTTTTGTTGTTTACCGGGAGTTACTTGAGAATTTGCCGTCCTTCTTCCTATATAGTTTTTTTTTTGCCATCAACAGAAGTTGTACACTTGAGGGTATATAGATTTATGCATTTTATATCAGCTTTCTGTGTAGTATACATTTATTTATCTGTCACTTCCGTGCCGTAGGCTTGTGAGTTCGGTTGCATTGTGAATTGTACACCTACGTCCTATCGTAAATCTGAATAACATTCTCCCTCTCTGTAAACTATATAAATTTAGTCTTCGCTAAATTGGTATTCACAATTTCCGTGTTTCTTATGCAATTTATCCATACGTGCTTCTTCATGAATGTTGAAAGTCCTGTCTGTGTTGAATTTGAATTCGAGCATTAAGCCTTAACATTTTCTCTTTATACTTCTGATTCCCCACATTGGTAGTCATTAATATTTTCCCATTAAATTTTTTAATCTCATTGCAAGTATATAAATGCCTAAGTTAACATCGTGCTCTGATCACAAATGTTGCTGGTTTACCTGGCAGATTGGTAATAGCATGTATAGTAGTCCCTTGTCTCATGGCCATCCTGTATTAAGATATGACTTGAGTGTCTGATTTTAAGATCAGTGTTCTCAGATACTCTGATGTGCTTTTCACATTGTCAGGACAAGTGCATTTAATATGGTTCTATCCTCTGTAGTATCTCTTTGTATATATCTGTATGATGCTTATCCTGTGCTTTCTGAAATGCCTATTTTCTGATCCAGTCAAGGACATGCACCTTGCGGGAGGCTGTCATCTTCGGCAGTGTTATTGAGAAGGTTTCCATTCCACATCTTCATGCTAGGTATGGCTGCTGGAAATGTTTATAATGATAGCAGTGACCTGTGCATTTTTAGGGCTTCAAAAGAAGATGTTGTCATCATTGTTATACAGTGAGATTCTCATAGTTCTGCTGGGGGTCTACCTATATTTTTGTGAGAACCATTGAGAATTTCACTTATCGTTCTCACCCTTCACCATTTATATGGTTGACATAGTTATGTAGTAACTGTTTGTTTTTTTACCTGTTTATTTTATGATGATTGGGGTCACAAGCAATCTGGAAGAAATGTATTCGGTTCAATGTGCAAGAAACTGAAATTCAATCAAGTACTAATTAAGAAGTCAAGCAACAAGTATCTGCTACAAGTCTTTGCACTTTCCTTGATAGTGTTGTCCTTTCGTCCTAATAGTTGTAGTACATACACCTACAAATTGCTTGTTAATATGGGAGCTGCTAGGTTAGTAAACTATTTATACTTTCCTGTATCATGGCTAAAAACTGTCTTTCTGGCACAAAACAAGCCTTGAATGAATACAAAAACAGGATCATTGCAAGTTGTGTACGGCCTCCATCTCACTTTAGTTCTATTATTTGACTTGGATAGTGGTCAATTTGACTGGCTTTTGGAGTGAAATTTACTTCAATTCGTCAAAAGAAGAAAATACGGGTAGGTGCATGTTAAGTAGGATAGAAATACTATTAAATCGGTAAGTTTTAGTTCCAAAATGTTAGATACTCTTATGTAATTCAATAACCAAATTCAGCTCGGGACAAGATTATGGACAGAAAGAGTACCTAACTTCTAAAACTTTTTTTTCTTGTTGCAAGTTCTTTTCATGTTTTGCAAGTGAGCACAGTTATTATCAAGCTATTGCTATTGTCACTGTAATACCTCATTCTTGGAGAAGTCTTTAACTTTATATCGTTTTGGAATGCAGTGTGGCACTGCTGAAGCTTGCAGAGATGGAGTATTGTGGCACAACAAGGTATTCTACGTGTTGTACTTACTTACCTCATGTTGCCTTACAGTTTTCAATGTTTTTCTTTTGGTCCTTTCAGTAATAGCTACTGTTATGATCTCATAATATTCATATTTGCTAAAGCATTTTGCTGATCTTATACATGGAAGCTAAAATTGTTTCTCAGTAAATCATCACTTGATTGGTCTATTCCTACCACATTGCTATGCAAAAAAAAAAGGAGAAAAAAGAGAGGAGGTTTTAGGAATAGATTCTTGTTTTTCTCAAGATGTCTTGCAGTTTGACATCTGAATATTTCGATCATGATAAATTTCTGTGCATGCATTTTGAAGATTTCGAGACATCTTCCTTTCTTATATGTGTCTACAATCTTGCAATGATGGAGTAATCTTAGTTATTGCTTTGTTAAGGTTTGCAGTGTGACATCCGAATATTCGATCATGATAAATTTCTGTGCATGCATAAATAAAACGGTTGCTTATCACAGTTAATTTTGAAGATTTCGAGACATCTTCCTTTCTTATATGTGTCTACAATCTTGCAATGATGGAATAATCTTAGTTATTGCGTTGTTAAGGTTGGTACTAGACGATAGCACATGCTTCACATGGGAATATCTGGTGAATTTATATCTCTATTTTTGAAGCTTTTTATTGTTTTGAACTTTTTCCTTTTGGTTACCCATGATTCAAGGCAGTAAAAATTTGTATACTACTATTGTAGATAGGATTATTATTATTATTTTTTTTGGGTTCCCTAAGAGAGTTTAGTTTGTGTATGACAGACAAACTGAGTTACTTGAGATAAGCATAACATGTTATGGTTGTCTGAGTGATAGTATTAAAGTAGCGAGAACAGTGAATTGTTGGTATTGTATACTGTTTGATCTTATTCACTTCATTTAGGAAATAATTAAAAAAAAAATGATGATAACCACTCCGCAGGGGAATTTTTGAAATAGTCTTATGGGAAAAAAAATTCTCTCCAAATTGATATGGGTTAAATAGTGAAATAATATCTGTTGCTAACTCCCTCTTTCAATAAATTTGGACTAGTTTGATCTAAAAATAAAAATGTATGTTTGAATGGACTATCAGGTTCAATTTTGGTAGATAAATGCTTATAATAATGGTTAATGTGAAAAAGGTTGAATAGTTTGTGTAACATCAAGTTTGTAGTAATATAAAGTAACAATATTTTTTGTGCAATAGTAACCCATATCATATTTATACTGGTTACTATAAAGTAGCATTAGTTTATATTAGTTTGCATTCTTGGGGAAAAAATCTGTATTTAAACAAAGATGTCTAGTTTTTAGGGATGGGCCTACAGGAAATAGTTGCTTTTATTGAGATCAAGGGGAGCTAAATTATATGGATGGATTTATAAGTATCAGGATAGTTTCAATCATGCAAGTTGTGTAGGCTCATGCCAATGTAGTATTCCTCTAAGAGTTCTTTTTCCGCGACATTTAGTCTAATCAATTTTTTTTCTTGCTTTTTGCTGCAGTTATTTTATCAAGTTACTAATTGAGAAGAAATATGCTTTGCCCTATCGTGTACTTGATGCCATGGTATCACACTTCATGGGCTTCTTTGATGAAACAAGAGTCATGCCTGTGATCTGGCACCTGTCACTTCTTGTATTTGTGCAGAGGTTAGTTTCACCCTGTCATTTCTTGTGGTATTTCTTCCTCTTCATGGTGGCAATATATTAAAATGGTAATAAAGCTTTAAGGTTACATGTCATACTTAATCCATTGATAAGCTACCTGTTAGACTCATTTACACGGTCTCGACTTCTAATAATTATTTTGTCTTCTCTCTCAAGTACCAGGATTATCATACTTGCTTTGAATTTTTTTGCCATTGTCCACAAGGATTGACACTCCTATGTAAAGATATCATAACGAATTTATCAACAAAAATAAAAGGGCTATAAAATGGCGAGTAGCAACAATATCTTTTATGTTAAGGAACAGATTTAACATCTTGCTTATTACTAATGTCTACTTCCCTATGCCGTATGGCTGACGCTGCATGACTAATATATTTGAGGTTGACAAGTTTGCTGACACTTGTTCTGGTGATGTATGTCCTTTTCTATCAATAGTACTTTACTAGTAACCTTTATCTTGCCTCAGTATTGGGTTCTTTCTTTTTTGCATTCTTGTCAATTTGTCCAAGAACATGATAGCTTTTGAAGAGATGAAATTTCTGAATATTGTTTATACGATGAATCGTTACAGGTACAAAACTGAGTTGAGAAAAGAGGACAAAGCTAACATAAGAGCACTTGTTGAAAGGCAAAGACATAGACTGGTATGCTTTTGGATTTTATTTTCGTTGATTCTGTTTTCTGTTGCTGCAAGCAAACATTCAAGTTATGTTTGTGCCTTCGATGCAGATTACACCCGACATATTGAGGGAAATTGATAAGAGCAGAAGTCGGGGGGAAAAGGAGGATGGTGCTATGTCAATTGATATCCTCTCATTGATGGTTTTAATCTTTCAGCTTGAGCTTAATTTGGTTTATTTGTGCTGTCACCTGCTATTTCCATATCATAGAGGGATTCTTAATGTTGTAAAAAACTGCGGATGAAACAAAAAGTCTTTAAATCTTCTTCGACAGCGCGTGCTTCAANGGATGGTTGTTACCTATTGTATTGTATCGTATTGTTACTTTAAATACAATGTTTGTTTTGATTGGTACTTAAATTTTATTGTATCGTATCGTTAAATTTGTCGTTTCGTAACGACGAAAAGTGCCACTTTATGGAACAATGGATTTGGTGTGGTGGCGTTGCCTTGCCTTTTTTCTCTTATTTTGTCCTTGCTTATTATTAAATAATCGTGATTTATCTTTTACCCTACTCTTTTATATAGTATAATAATTATACTTTGTATCCTATATTTTCTTAGTAATATTGTAAGTTTATTCTTCATATTATTGGTCCGTAATATCATGACACGACAACAACCGATATAATATATCCAAACGTTGTATTCATCAAACAATATAATATAATACATCACGATGCATTACAACAATCCAAACAAGCTGTTAGATATCAAGTATCTCATCTGTATAAATAACATTTTTTTCTCCAATATTTTTCTGTGTTTGATTGGTGAAAGAAACTTATTAGGTCTAGTACTGTTACTGAGGTTCTATATACTAGTTACTGAGGTTCTATATACTAGTGTACAAAATACTTTTTTGTACCTTAGCTTCACTAAAATAAGTGATTGTTGTAGAAGTAACTGTAACAAAGTTGACCTTTATTTGAATTTGATGTTCTTAGCAAAGTTATGGGTAATTTTATCCATCAAACTTTAGACAAATAAAAAAAATAAAACTAACGGAAAAAAATAAAAAAATAAATCTGTAGTTCTGTCTTTGAATCGAATTTGACGTTTTCTTTAATTGTGATTTTCTTTGAGGTTAGTTTGTGCACATTTTAACTAACTATGAACACACATTGACTAATATCTGAGTACCTGTTATCAGACAAAATACTAATTGAGTGCCTGCTATCAAATAGAATTTACCTAGTGTCATCTCAGCTTGGTTAAACGCGTATGGTAGTTTAATGTCTTAAATGAAATAAGTTTAGCACCGTCAAAACTGTTAACATTTGTAAATTAGTTAATTCGTAGTCTATCTGTTATTCGTATTAAAATGTACTAAAAAGGGTCAAAAGATTGAAACAAATGCCATAATGATAAATCAAAGTGCAAATGTAGAAGAAATTGAAGGGCTTAATCTTCGACAACAAAGAGGAGAGACATTAGCAATGCAACATGAAACGAAAATGGTCGGAACCTCGTCCGAAACTCACTCGGGCCACTCGGGACCCTGTCCAAATATGCCAACAAGTCCCATGACGCAACACAAACCTACTCGAGGCCTCAAATCACACATAACAACATCGAAATGACGAATCACACCTCCAATCGACTTAAATGAACTATGAACTTTCAATTTCCGAAACTTGCGCCGAAACATATCAAATCAACTCGGAATGGACTCAAATTTTTCCCACAAGTCCCAAATGACATAACGAAGCTATTCCAATTCCCGGAACCACAATCCAAATCCGATATCATCAAAGTCAACTTCCGGTCAAACTTATGAACATTCCAAAACTCCAAATTGCCAACTTTTGCCAATTAACGCTAGAACCTTGAAGATACATCCAAAGGCAAATCTGGGCATATGCCCAAGTTCGAAATCACCATACGAACCTAATAAAACCATCAAAACTCCGATCCGGGGTCAAATACAAAAAAAGTCAAACTTGGTCAACTCTTCCAACTTAAAGCTTCAGCGATGAAATTCTTTCTTCCAAATCAATTACGAATAACCTGAAAACCACAACCGACGATTCACACATGTCATAATACATCATACAGAGCTACTCATGCCCCCAAACCTCCTAGCAAAGTGAAAATGCTTGAAACGGCCGGTTGGGTCGTTACATTGCCAACTTGAACTTTAACAATTCAAAGGCTCTCATGCAATCATCATTTAAGTGAAACTTAGCATATTTCTCTAGAAGCTTGCACAACGGGTTTACCAGCTTAGAGAAATATTTGATGAAATGCCGGTAGAACCCCGCGTGGCCTAAGAAACTCCGCACACCTTTCACCGAAGTTGGAGGTGGAGGTTTAGAAATCACCTCAATCTTTGCCTTGTCAACTTCAATTCTATTATTTGAGATCTTATGGCCAAGGACAATTCCTTCCTCGACCATGAAATGACACTTCTCCCAATTGAGCACCAAATTCATTTCTTCACATCTTGCCAACACTTTATCTAGATTTGCAAGATAATCATCAAAAGAATCCCCAACCACTGAGAAGTCATTCATGAAAACTTAAAGGTAGTCCTCCACCATGTACGTGAAGATAGCCATCTTGCACCTTTGAAAAGTCGTCGGTGCATTACACAAAACAAATGGCATCCGCTTGAAGGTGAATGTACCATAGGGACATATAAAGGTTGTTTTCTCTTGATCCTGTGGAGCAATAAGGAATTGGTTGTAGCCCGAATATCCATCAAGAAAGCAATAGAAAGCACGACCGGCCAACCTATCAAGCATTTTGTCAAGGAAGGGATGTGGAAAATGATCTTTCCTTATGACTTTGTTAAGGCTTCTGATAGTCCATACACACTCTCCAATCATTCACCGTTCTTGTAGGAATCAACTCATTCTTGTCATTGGTGACCACCCTCAAGCCCCTTTTATTTGTGATACATTGAACCATAGAAGTCCATGAACTATCAGAAATGGGGTAGACAACCCCGACATCCAACCACTTGATAATCTCCTTTTTGAAAACTTCTTGCATAGCCTCATTGAGTCTCATTTGAAGTTCAATAGATGGTTTGGCGTCCTCCTCCAAGTTGATCTTATGCATGCAAAATGCGGGGCTTATTCCCTAAATATCCGCCAATGTCCACCCAATAGCCTTCTTCCTCTTATGTAGCACCGCCAATGTAGAATTCACCTGCACGTTAGTCAAAAAAGAGGAAAGAATAATGGGTAAAGTATAACAAGGGCCAAGAAATTCATATCGAAGATGTGAAGGCAATGGCTTCAACTCCAAGGTAGGAGGCTCTTCAATGGAAGGCTTGGTAGGAGGAGTATTCCTATTTTCAAAATCCAAGGATAGTTTCCGGGGTGCATAATTGTACGACCCCATTCCTTGCAAAGAATTCACACATTCCATGAAGCTATCTATCTCGTCATCATCAAAGTTGAGCAAGATGGCCTCCAACATATCACCAACATTGATCATGGTATCATCAACAATAACATCGGTCACCAAGTCCACAAAAGAACACACCTCGTTGCTATTTGGTTATCGCATGGACTTGCACACATGAAATACCACTTTTTCATCACCCACTCGAAAAGTGAGTTCTGCGGCTTTCACATCACAAAGAGCTTTCCCCGTATGTCACGACCCAATTTTCCCTATAAGTCGTGATGGCACCCAACACTACAGCTAGGCAAGCCAACTAATAAATTAAGCATACATTGAAAAAAATTTAAAATCAAGAAAAGTATAATAGAACACCAAATTCTACCAATGTGTGTGCCAAGACCTGGTGTCACAAGTATATGAGCATCTAGTAGATTATACAAAACCTCAAATACTGTCTGAAATAAAAATAGACAGAATGAAAAATACAAGGAGAGACACTAGTAGCTGCAGAACGGATCAGAAAGGTAGCTCACCACTATGCCCCTAGATAACGTGGGTGTAAGACGATAGGTCCCCAGCTAGTACTTGCCTCATGTCCTTCACAAAAAGTGCAGCAAGTGTAGTATGAGTACGTAAACAACGTGTACCCAGTAAGTATCAAACCTAATCTCGAAGTGGTAGAGATGAGATGGCCGATTTTGACGCTCACTATGGGTCAATGATATTAATTGAAATATAACTAGGATATTTAAATCAGCATGATTTACCGAATTTAAAACAATTTATTTAATCAGCGAAAATAATCAAATTCCTTCAAATGCAACAATTCTCAATATATTAATTAAATTCCTTCAATTCAAATAATTTCCAATTTATCAATTCAATATCATTTACAGGAATAATATTAATTCTTTAACAAGCAAGAATAATAATTCATTAAATTTCAATGATTTTTCCAATTTATCAATTAGCTTCGCAAGATGAAATAAATTATTAAAGTATCGTATAATTATTATTATTAAGCACGATTTCTGCCGATGACGTACTACCCGATCCAGAGTGTCCTACACACTGCCGAGGGATGTGCGACGCGATCCATAGATGCATCTATCCTGCCGAGGCGTTCGGCCCGCTCCACAAGAAAGGAGGACATTTTCTTATGTACCTCCGGAAGGAGAGTATTTTTATTATAAGACAAATTCAGGAGGAGAATAATTTCTTTTTAGCAATTAATTGATTTAAACATAAAATCAAGCATATGATATTTCCATCCTTTAATATCTTTATCTAACAATTCACAATATATTCATATATATCAATTAATATTAATTAATCAAGGGATACAATTTACACAAGAATTTCATGCTTTGAGTCCTAAACTACCCGACTTTAGCATTTATAGTAGCTAGGCACGGACTCTCGTCACCTCGTACGTACGTAGCCCCCGCAATTAGCAACAATATTCAATTTAATCCCTATGGGGTAATTTTCCCCTCACAAGATTAGACAAGAGACTTACCTCGTCTCAAAGTCTACTTTCCGATTATCGCGTCGCGTAAAATTCTCGATTCGATAGCGAAAAATCCGAAACTATCCAAAGGTTATATAAAATAATTAATATATGTTCAATAATTCGAAATTCATCTATTAAATAAATTACCCTCTCCAAAATGGTAAAATTCCTAAAATTCACCCCGGACCCACGTGCTCAGATTCTGGAAATATTAGGATGAAAACGTTTTCCATAATCTCAAGAACTTGAATATAAAATTTCTACCCAATTCCATAACTATTTTCGTGGTTAAAATCTCATTTTTATAAAAATCTAGGTTTTTCACCTAAACCCTTGATTTCTAAGATTTACTAGTTATAATCTACCCATAATATATGTAACTAACTCAAAAGATA